TGACTAGGTAAGGGCTTTGAAATCCCAGCTTATGAGAAAAATCGAATTTTCGAAGTAAAATCAGTGGTCGGTTCTTACAGAGACAGCCTCTTAAATTTTGAAATAAAAATGAGGGGTCCCCGTGTTTCTTTAGGAACAACAGCACCTTGTTTATACCCAATAACCCCTTACAATAGCTCCACGATTATAGTCACCATTACTTGCAAAATTCACGTTTGCGACGATTGTTTCTTGTTCTACACTGAGAATCGGTCCATATTTATTTTACATAGAGAAATTTATTACACAATTCAAAACAACTGGAAAAAAACTATAGGTCACCGTACTCGTTTTGGAGAAGATGATGATTTACCATTATGACGAGGTCCAGCCGTAAAGAGAAAGCCGCCATTTATATAGTCTACTAATCACGCGTGAAATTATGCGCAGTGAGGATGCGCAATGCGACACTGGGGAATGACCTTAAATGAGAAAACGAGCCGTGTCTTTCATGCAACTCAGACTCCAATCACTGATACGATCTGTGACATGATATGAACTTACCTCAACAGTTTCTGGGTCGAGGGTTTCACCTTCCTTAGCAAGAACTCTGCCAATGAGTGCGTTTGTCAAATGTGATTTTCCAACACCAGTTTTTCCGCACAAAAGGATGGTCATGTGTTTTCCTCCAGACGAGATATATTCTCGCAGTTCATACTCGAGATTAGGAAGGCCTTTTATCAGCCACATGGCCTGGCTTTCTAGTGTATCAAGGTTTACATCAAGGGTCCCGCCTTCTGCCATCGCAAGACCTTTCATTGTGAGAAAAAAAACGACAACGTCCCGTTTTCAGAATGCTACATGTATTCTTCCTAAGAAAACGTTTTTTATTGAGTCTGCTTTGCGGCTGAACAAAACTGGCAAATCGCAACCGATGCCAGCGTTTACCTTTAATTAATCTTCGAGCGTACTGCATGGGGGAAAGGGATGAATGCTCCGTGAAGCGGAAACTTTCAGTAGTTGTTTATAGATCCCTCCCAAAGATTTTGACGTGTCAACTGTCTGTAGACGTCAATTTACATTGTCATAGCAACTGCATTTTGGCATGCAAGTCAAGCCATGTTTCGTCTAGGCTGCGAGCAGTCTCTCTTTCGCTCGAAAATCCGTGGGGGAAGGACGCAAAACAAGTGAACGTGCAAGCGTGACGGCGAGCATGACATTCGAGCGGCGAGCGACGAAGCCGCAAACCACAAGTAGCGCAAGAGACTGCTCGCAGTCTGTACTCGTCTTATTCCACAGAACTCTTCGTTTTTTTACCGTTTTTTTGGGAACGTTGCAGGATTGTTACCTTTTTACATTCTATTATCATCCTGGGTAAAGTTTCCATTAATTTTCCGACTTCCTGAGAAAATAGACCTAAAGAGGACCCTCATTGTAATGTAATTCCGTCAGCGCAAGTCACTTCCAGTATATTTACTAAAAACTGTCTGTCAATGAACCATTACACTACGGCTTGAAAACGGTAAGATCTCTTTCATTTCTACTATGCGTAATCTTGGAAATAAGAAATATAGGTTTGGGAGGGGGGGAGTTTATCAGAAAAACAATCAGGTTTTACAATCCAATTAAGAGAGCTGAGTTCCTTTTTAAATGTAGAAAAATGCCTTGCAGCAACCCATAACAGGTAAACCAAATTGCAACTAGTTTGTTTTGGGACACCAATATGACTGCCGTGACATCATCGTATGTCAAATGGAGACTTCTGGGTTCAGTCTGATGTACCTCATGCGTGAAGCAATTAATGAAATTTTAATCCTGGTAGGATTAATCCCAGGATTAATCAAATCTGTAGGCTCGATTTCCAGCCGTTTTGTGAGCCCGCGTTCCTTTCCCCACACCACGGCTGGATCACTGGTCTACCCATTGTATTTTTGGACCAATCACAGCCAAGCCTGCTCGCATCGAGCAGGCTTCCCTGTGATTGGTCAATTCTGTCACTCGCAGTGCTAATGAGTTTCTTCTGCATAAAGTGTGTTTTAGAGCGCTTTCTCATCGACAAATTTAGGGAAACACAGCAGGATGCCATTTTGAATTTGTTAAAAGGAAAAGACGTTTTAGCTTCACAGCTAACGGCCGCAGGAAAATCTGTAATTTTTCAGTTCTTCCTGATCATCGTCGATGTTGCGTAGATGAATCCGATTTACTAGTTGTGCTTTGACTACCTCTCTGCTCAACTCGCTTAAGGAGGATCGAGTCAGGTTCCTTCCTTCAATAGGTGTACAAGCAGCTTTTATCGGGGACGAGCAAAATGACGAAAGCGTTATACGAAAAAAGATGTAAAAAAGGAGTTGAGGGCGGCTTATTTCATGTCGTGCTAGGGATCTCGGAGTCATTTATGGATGTAACCGATGGCGATCCATCTTTACGAGTGCAACTTATAGGAAAAAGCTTCGGCTGAGTTCCATTAATGAAGCCCATTGTATCCGACACTGGTAAGAATTAGAACGATTTTTATGAAATA